TCCTGTGTCATATCTGCTAGACCCATCTGACCTTCTGGTCTCTCAAACGGCAGCAGATGCCTAAGGAATGGAAAAATTAATACAGACCTAAGTGTCTGCATTTGATCAGATGAACCCCATTCACATGGTCTGTCTGAACAACCATGGGTTTAGACACAAATTTCAAGTCCTTTTGGAAAGGACTTGGTATATGGAGCACTTCCTACATCTGTGGTTTATGCAAAAAATACAACTGCTGCAGAAATGAAGTTTTCTTCAATAAGAAGAGACAGCAAATGAGATCCACCTCCCTGCCTTGGCAGAAAGGAGGGCAATGAGGAAGGAAAAACAGCTCTTTTACTCCTTTCCACCACTGTCTGCCCTTATTCAGAGGCACAATCAGGCACAGACCACATGTGCTCCTCAACAATGTGGATTGGTGATTTCATGGTGCAAGCACACTTGCAGCAGGATTCACATCAGCACAAGCTCCAAGAAGGGCTGCAGAAACACCAAAGCTGATTTGTACAAGTCCCTCATAATTGTCATGTGTGAGCGTCTCAGAACACTTAATGGGCTTATCTTTACATTTCCATCAGATAAGAAGCTACCCATGAGACAACTCCATGTTTTCCTACCTTGTTTATTACAGTCATCTATTGCTGAAAAATTGTCAGAGATATCAGCACAAGGCCTGAAAACAGGAACACTCCAAGAGTTCAAGAAATTGCCTGAACACTTGAACTGTTCAAGAGACGACCTCTGAGCAGATTGACGTTTCAGAGAAAAATAAACAAAAAAGCAAAGCAAAACACTACATTACATCATACACCATGTTATGAAATAGTTCATGCTGCATTTAAAAAAAAATAAGAAAAATCATCTTTGAACTTTGAATTCATTTTAACCCTTCTAATTTTAAAATTTGGAAAAAATCTTCATTTAGAACTCAACATGAACAGCTAGAAAAATTCATAATGAATCAGACAAGGTCAGCAAAGTTTATGTATTTGGTTACGTAACTATTTTTTGGATGGACGGATTTCTGAATTACAACAGAAGAGGTATCAATCTACATTTGTAATTTTTTTCCATTTTAGCAAGCAGTAAAATTAAAGCTGTGATCATATTAATTAGAACAGCAGACCCAATTGCAGTATGATAATTGTGGCTAATGCTAAACAAATACTTTATTACATTAATCTAAACATAGAGCCTGAAGTATTAGAAGATAAAAACTAGCGACTAAAAGTGAGGGAGCAAATCATCTGTTATTCTGTTTGCACATGGATTTGCCCAGCCTCTGCCCCTCACTACAGAGTGACAGAGAGCTTTCTCATCAGGGAGCTGGAAGGTTTCGTTTTTTTGGGGTTTTTTTTTTGGCTGAATTTGGAACCAACACCAAAGACAGGCTACAAAGGGCCTTAAGTATATGCATGATTTTACTTCAGATCTGAGGAGTGCAGACTCAGTGGGTTGACACAAAAATATCACACACTGGCAGAGCAAAAAGGATGTTTTGCTGTTGCTTGTAGGAATATATTGAGGTAAATTACCTGCTGAAAGCCTCAATTTTTCCCTGAGTGGATCAAACCTTGCTAAAAAGTGAGAGGAAATAAGTAGAAATTACCTGAACTCAAATTCAATAGTTAAGAACAGAAGAAACATTTCTGTTAATTTACTGTAATAGTCATGAGTACAAGATTTCCTGTAATAATTATCCACTACTGGTCAGCATTTAATAGCAAAAAAAACCCACTACTAAAAATTATCAATACAACAAAAAAATGAGATTTGACATTGTCAGATAAGAGAAAAGTATTTTAGTTTGTCTACCTATAAAAACAGCCTCAGGATCAGACATAAAAGGGGTCTAGGTATAGACAGCACAATTTGAGTTAATTAATCTTTTTTTTTCCGCTTCTCAAATTCTGATGCCTAATGATTTAGAGATTCCAGAAGGGGCATTAATATATTTATTGCATTCTTTTCGTGTATCATTATGTTCTTCAGCTAGATATAGAAGCCTAACAGTATCTCACATCAAGAGACTAACTCTTTTGGAAAAAGAGCCACTATTTGAAAGACAAAATTTAACATCAGAATTAGTAGACATATAGTCATACATCTATTAATACATATCTGTCTATAGGCAGTATGATTTTGAACACTTAATAACAAAATCAAAAGACATTAAAAGTTTTCCTTATCACACACAGTAATTTTTTAGTTTTGTGACTGAAGATTTTTAACGTTTTGTCCAAGTATTAAACAAAATATCATCTCGGCTCCAATCTATAATGTTTACTTATTGTTTCAGATACTTGTATCACTGAATGCAGCACTTGCATGTCAAATTCAGAGTAGAATAGGGTGATACAATGCAAATATTTCTGCCCTAAAAGCCAAAGAGCACAATTATGTTACACAGAAAGGTAAATGAGAATTGCAGAGGAGTCTTACTGGGTCTTAGGTTACATAACTTTTTATAGAAGCAGGCAGCCATATCACAAACTAATTATGATTCATTACAACTTTTTTTTAGGGCTTCTGTTTTAAGATTATTTTTTTTTTATCACTCTTACTGGTAGGTTGTTCCCGAAAGTCACTGTTTTGATAGTTAGACATCTTTCAATCTCCAGCATCAATTTATTCATTGCCAGATCACACTGCCCTATGCTCTCTTTTCTTCCATAACCCAACTGAAATAAATGAGACTAGTCAAATAAATAAAGTAAATTGGAAGATTTTTTAAGAACTTATTCTTAAACACAATGTCTAGACATTTAAATATTTCCCAGGCAGTGAACACCTATTTAAATTATTTTTGACAAGACTACTGGTGACTGGGCTCATGCCAAAACACAGGAAGAAAGATCTAATGTTTAATGTTGTGAGGGTGAAAACTTTGTAAATACAACCTCAAAAAAATGAAAAGCAAAAAAAGCAAAGTTTTTTTTTCAATTTACTTCCAACAGTACCTTGCCTGCTAACAAAAGATAATCATAGCAAGCATTTTGAAATACATTTCTTATTACCACATAAGATGCGTTCCACAGAGTTATGGCTGGAAGGGGCCATTAAATCATTTGTATAACACTGTATGCAGATAAACCTTCTGGCATATCCAAGATCATAAATTCACCTAATTACTGCTGCATTAAGCCTCGGCAATTTCAAATGGCTAGTACACATCTCCAAGGGTGACACACAACCTTGATCAGAAATGTCAGGAAAAAGGGAATATAGCTCTGGTCTCACACATTTGCTCTAGTAGTTAAACTAAAAAAGTACCTTAATTTTATTTTGAAGAGTCTCACCTCAATTCAGTGCTTAAAACTTAAAAGAACACTATTTCCATTGCAACTTCTACGTCCAGGTGATTCTTAGGTTTGACTCCTCCTGCAGTACAATAGCTGACTATAGAACATTTTCTGCCTGGGTATTTCAACTTCAAAAACTCACTACTCCACATGCATAAGGTTGCTTGCACACTTTTCACCACAGATTTGCATGGGGCACTAATGTAAAAAAGGTATTTTAATTGAGCACTAGCTGCAGTTTAACTTTCAAGTCACTGGTAATCATTCAAGATCACTATGCTCTGACATGTACTCATTCTTCCAGGAAGAATTTTACTTGGTTGCTCTAAAATGAATTTTGTTTGAATCAATTCAGTTTACAGATCACTGTATTGGACAATTCAACATAACCATTATCTATCATTTCACCAGTCTTTATTCTATCTGCTCCCCAAAACTGCCTAATCTGTTGCAAAAAAGTGAAATCTTTGTTTTCTTCCTGGGACCAGATTTTACCACCAGATTCTTAGTCACGCTGAGTTAAACTTAAGAACATATATTGCTGGTCATGGTAACACGTTATGTAGTGCAAATAAGTCTAGCAGAGTCTGGCCCTCAACATGGAAAAAATTACTCGCTTTTATTTGTTCAGAGTTGTTACACTTCTTATAAACTCACCTGTATCTCTCAAATCAACAGAGAATGACACAGAGTTCAGGAAAAAAAAAATACATCTAACTGTTAACTTTAATTCACTGAAGCCCAGAATAATAAGCTGATGCAAAAGTATGCTATAAACACTGAACAAAACATTAACAGCATGGGTATAGGTATGTATGATGGTTTTTTTTTTTTAGAAGCTATAATTCTATCAATTTCAGCTACTTACTTTAAAAAAATGTAATTTTTTTCACAATTGACAATAAATATTTAATCCAAGGAAATTTATTTCCCTCTTTCAATGATACTTTTATCTTTCTATTCCAGACCAAAAAGAGAAAACAAGAGCCAACCTCCTACTGAGGGACAAAAATATTAAAAAGCCCACTGAAAGAGCCTCTTTTGAAAAGCAGCAAGTCAGGTTTACGGTTAATATATATTACCCTCCAAATAAAAAATTCATGTCAATATGCACACAGCTCTTTGGATAGCTCAGGAAGGTGGTTACTGACTGAAACACTGTCACTGAGTCAACTCTAACACTGATTCGGAAGGATATAGTGCTTCTGAACAACTTCCTTTGTAAGCCAATTCTCACACTGCAAAGGACGACTGCAGAGGAGAAAAATACTCTTACTACCAGCTAAGAGCTGAACAAACAACCACTCACACCGGAAAATGTGTGATAGTGGAAGTCTTTTCAGTATACTTCAGACAGTATTAAAATACAACTCCGAGGTCATTTGCCATTCTTTAATCAATTACCATTTCATGTTTTTGCAGGAAACATATATGCTCATTATCTGATTGTTTTTTTACACAGGTTTTCAAAATTTACAGCTTACAGTCACAGTGGGCTGTGAATTACAGTTTGTTTAATTCTACGCTATTTCTTATAGTCTAGATATCATCGATGACTCAGTTAAATCACATGCATCTTTATAGAAAAAGCAAATATTAGGGCATAACAGATTTCCACATTCTAATTTTCTCAGATCTGCTTAAATTCTGCTTACTTTTTCTGCTTAAATAAGAAAGAAAAATTTCTGTAGCATTTACCTGTAGAAGGCTGGAGGAGCAGCTTCCCTCATCCCAAAGCTGCCCTGATCGTTTTCAAGGTAATAGGGTACCTGTTGGCTGTGATGATGGATGAAGGGCGAGAGCTGGGGTGCCGTTTGCAGGAACACCACCGGGCTTGGTGGGACACTGTTCAGTGAGTGAAATCCTGCCAGACTGCTGGACCCAAAAGATTCAGAAGAAGGGGCATAACTGAGCGTAGTAGAGCTGTAGACGGGAGCCGCAGTACCAAAATCATAGGTGGCTCCTTCTGGGTAGTTAAAAACTCCTGTCTTGTTGGTCTCCACGTACATGTCGCTGAGCGATCTTTCCAGGGGAATCTTCAGCTGAGGTCTGCTCAGTGTCTCCAGTTCAGTGCCTTGAATCTGGTGCAGCAGGGTAACTCCAGAGGTTTTGGTGTGAAGGGTCATGGTCAGTACTAATGGCAGTGAGCAAGGAACATATCTGCTTTTACTGTCAACAGCGAGATCGGCAGCTGGCAGTCCACCTAAAAAAAATACCAGAACCTATTCTGAGGCTCAGCAGAAATCATAATAAAGCAGCACTACACAGGTATTCCTCTAATCTCAGCAAGGAGGAGGATACAAACAAACGCAGAGTGAGCACTGAAAACGCACATTCTCTCTCTCTTCCCTCCCTCTCCCTCTCTCTAACTTTTAGGAACTCCTCATCTGCGCTAATATGCATTACAAGGTGCTGGCTGCGAGCCAGGAGCCCTTGCCTTGTGCCGACGTTGGTTTAAACATCACTTCAGAAACAATTAGTTTTGGAGTTATACCAAAGAATTGTCCGTCTAAATGTTACTTCATTCTTACTAATCGTTTAATTTTTCACTTCAGGGTACAGTGCTTTGCAGCAACTAACGTGAAAGAACACTTAAATCCAACCAGGAAGGCTAGTCCAGTGGTCAGTCAGATTGCTGCCTTTTATTTCCTCAGCAGGCTCCAATCTATCTGTGCTTATCTCTCCTCCTGTTTGATTCATTTTCATGTTTGCTAGAAATATGTAATGTGTACATTGTACTGACCCTGGGCAGGACTGTGCTGTAACCGAGATAGGGCAAAGCTGAATGTGTGTGTGTGTGTGTGTGTGTGTGTGTGTGCAAGCGCATGTCCCTGTGTCTGTCTCCGTGTGTGTCTGTGTATGGTTGTGTGTCTGGGCATGTGGGGAGCAAGCTCCAGTCAATAAAGCCTGCTAACAAAATTGAAGTGTGCATGATACCTATGCAGAAGGGATTTCTAATATGCTTTCATCAGTAAGAGCAACTTGCGGTTACTAGAGTACTATAATAACATTAAATAGCAAGGAAAAGCTTTAGACTAACCTAGAAAATTATGCCTGCTTCTTTTTTATGCTGTAAAACGATGAAATAAACATCATTCACATTTTGCTACAGTTAGGAGATGGTTATTTGATTGCACGATACATAAATTGAATACAGGAAATTCTTTTTCCTAGTCTTGCGAACAAAAGCTTAGCAAACTGGAATTTTGAAATCAGACTACAAAATCAAGTAATCTAAAATAATCAAATGGGATTGACTTAAAAAAACCCTGATATGTCTCTCAAAGTTATATTTAGAAAGAAAAAAAAGAAAAAGCGAGAACATAATGAAAAGGTGTGGCATGCATGCTTCTTCTTGCCATCTCATTCCATATAATTTTAACTTCGCACAAACCAGTTCTCCTGAACGAGCTAAATGAAAACCTCTAGAAACTGTTTCAAGCTCTCCAGCTTCATTGCTGTGGTCTGTGGTTCAGTCAATGAAATAGGGTAATGTCAACCCTAAATGCATTAATATATGGGCTCCAGCTAGTTTGCTTTGAATACTAGCAAAGCCTATGCTATACTTCAACAACTCCACAGTTATTTGGCTCAACCTTCAAAAAACCCAAGAAACTGAAAAACTGAATATGCAGGTCAGTAGAAGTGTCAAGAAAAGTTTCCTAAAACCAGTTTTACTTTAGAAATAATACTGTGCTTTCAGAACTTCTACAAAAATAGCCAAAGTTTTTATTTTTTCAAGAATATTCTGAAGCAATATATGTTTTTACCTTCGCAGGCACAGAGCTGAGACATCAGCACACGCATAAATATGTACTTGATATATTTCCTCACCCACCCCGCCACCCTCCCTACCCTGTTCAAATTTCAGATTGTAGACTTTGATCAAAGAGATAAGCTTGTTTAAATAACACTGGACTAAACATGTTCCCAGTTAAAAAAAAAATAATCAGATGACCATACCCAGCAGTTCAGAAAGTCTTCGAAGAGTTATGCTGAAAGTGTGCCAGACAGTGTGAGAGAAAAAGAGTGTGAGCACATTCTTTTGGAGTGGGCGACCGTGCATCTGCAGAGGCTCAGAGAGCACAGCTCTCAGTGTAAGCACAGCTCTCAGCAGCCAGGGCTGCACGGGCTGAAATGAATGGCAGCTGCAAGTTTAAGCCAGTCACCCTTACACACTGCATTCTGTGCTATGAAACACGCAGGAAAGGCATTATCTCTTATTAAGCTGCATTATCTGAGAACTAATGTGAATCTACCTGCCGTAAAAAGTATCCACTTCGCTAGTGGGCTACAAAATGGACTTAGAATTTTTATCTAAAGCAGTATCCAACATGTATGCTCTGTTAAAACTAATATATTGACATGAAATAAAGTGTTCCAGTGTAATAACTATGCATAAGATGGAAAACAGAATAAGCAAGCAGAGTTGACTTCTGAGTGTGCCCTGTGCTTCTTCCATGAAATTTTTAAGAACCTCATTAATTACTTTTGGGAGGTGGTACGTTTCAAGGGAGTCAAATATTTATAATTTCCATCAGATGCAAACAGCATTAAACATACTGTAAGGTTAACTTGAACCACCATCACTTCTGTGTACCATTAACACTAGGGACCCCATGGGCAGCTCTCCACTAGCTACAGTCCTCCCGCTGGAAGGGCTCAGCAACAGACAGCTGCAGTATCCATGCAGCACACAGCCTTGTACACATCTTGAGAGAAAAAAAATGTCAGTGCCACAAACAAGATCTCAGAGACTGGCTGAGAACTTCTGTGACAGCATCCTGAAAAGTCTGACTTACTTTTCCTGTGGAAGAAAAGCAAGAGAACAAGAAAGGGTGAGGTGGAGGGGCGTGTCAAGCCAAATCCCATGAAGAAGCTGAATTTTTGATTTTTGAATACTGGGGGGAAAAAAAAGCAACAGGCTTTGATTCTGCTTACTATACATGGGACTTCTAGATATAAAGAAACTATGAAATGCAGTAAGTTATCAAAGAGTTGTTTTCTTTCTTGTCCTGTGCTGCTTACTCCAAATCAACAAATACTGTTACTTCACCTTGCTTTAGAGATGGCATTAAGTGCACCCACCTGTGGACTCACCTCTCAGAAAAATGAGATCTAGGTATTTGTGCTTAAAGGTCAGGACTTACTTCACCACTCACTTTAGTCTGATTTATTACATGTCAGAATTTAAGTGCTCTACAATATGGAAATATTACAGTATGGGATATAGCAGGATGTAGCAATGATATTTATAGTGCTGCTTAGCAAAAAGTTTATGCAAAGACTTGACTAAATCCCATATCATGTATGCCTTTAAAACTATGCAGAACTCATACAGAAGAGCTTGCCTCATTCACTCTGGGGTTTTTGTTTTAAATTACATGTAGTAACAGGAGAGAGTAAATAAAAACATTAATTGGCTGCAGCACCCTCCTTTCCAGTGCTAAACAGATGTGTTCAAAATGGGGAAATCTACATTCTCAGATCTAGTGATTTCTCAGTTATTGTGTATTCCACTGCAGCCAAGCTGCCCTATGTATTTCTCTCACCTTAAAGAAGGTCTAATACTATTTTGGAGTTGCAGAGAACATACAGGGGATATATAGACACATAAAAATAGAGAGGAACTGGTTCCACAAAATCTGAAGATTTGCTAACTTGAGATCCGGTATAGATTGAGGGTTTTGCTATATTTCTGAAGTTTTGGAATATGAAAACAAAATTTGGCTTTGATCCATCCAGATCTATGCCTGCACAGGAAGGAAAGGAAACAGCATTCGATGAATACTGAAGGAGGGACTAGTCCTATGTGACTGAGGAGCACAGACATTTTAGCAAAGAAGGTCCAAGCAGAAACTGCATCTTCATACACAGGGATTTTTAATGAGAATTAGTTGGGATGAAACGGTGAGGACTCAGGCACTACACTTCTCATGGAAATGAGAAATTAATAGTTTAGATAAATGAAACTGACTGATTAAATCCTGTGTTCCTCTCTTAAAAATTTCAGCCTTTCTGTTTTCCTTTTCTGGATAGGCTGGAGTTGCAGTGCTCAACTCAGATTTTCCAGAGTGGGCAATTTACTCTGATTGCACTAACAAAATATCAAATGCAGCAACAATAAAACAAAATCACATTTCTGTTGCTCTGTGGTTAAGCTAGCATCATTTACAGCTGAAAAATATTTAGGTATGTCTCTAAAGGCAAATTCTGCTTATTTTCATTAACTGATTAATAGTTCGTGTCTAAATTTATTTTTTTTTTTAATTTGTCGACAAATGACAACCATGATCAGATTAAGTTAGCAGACTATGCATACTGCAGTTTGGCTCAATGGGATCATGAGTCTGACACTTCAAAACTGGAACATAGCTTAAAAAAACCCCAGAAGTAGCTTTCTTCCACTGATAGCAAATGTGGAACCAGTGAAGCGATCTCAGAAACGGAAAAAAGAAAATATATAATTAAAAAATATAGAAGATATTATTTTAACTAATATAAACAACTGGAAGGAAGTTTGAGGATTTTCAGTGCCATAAATATCAATAATTATCTATTGACTAGAAGTCCTGAAAGGCAGTCCCAGAATTGTAACAAAATCAGTTCATTTTATAGGATTAAAAAAAAAAAAAAATTAAAGTAAAAAGGAACAGCCTGAGCATATTTTGCATTTTGGACAAGATAAAACAGAAGTTTGAGGGAAAAGGAGATAAACCAAAAAATACTATATAAAGTATAGTATGCAAAAGTATATACATAAAGTATATACATGCATATATAAGTATATGTATAGATTAAATATACAAATATACACAAAGGCTATTAGAATTATAGGAAAATTTGAAGACAAAAAAACTCCATTCTATAACAGGCATTTTTCAGCAGTAGTTTTTGTAAGTATTGCAACAAAAAATGGTAAACTCGGAGCATGTACTATAAATTTTCCATAAACCTGCTGACAGTGAAAGACCATAAACTTTGTCGCTTTGGTTCCACAGCTATAAAGATAGAAGCTTTTTTTAGCTGCTGCAATTAAAGAAGAATCTGTTGTACATAACAGGAGGAACATTATGTTTTTCCAAGATTCCACAGTAACATTACAGAGAAATTATGTTATGTTTAGTCCAGTGAGGAAACTCCTCAAGACAGACAGCTGGAGAACAGCACCATCTACCCCACTGCTTATAAATCTTCTCTAGA